CACTGGTGGGTGGTCTGGGTCGACTTGTAGTTTGTGTGTGATGATGTCAGGATCGATCCCAGGCATGTCTGCATGTGACAAAGCAAAACAATCAGCGTTAGACCTGAGAAAGTCAATTAACCTTTTTCGCACGTCTGTAGGTAACTTCGAGCCGACATTTATCTTCTTATCAGGATTGTTCTCAGCTAGCGGGACCTCGTCGAGTTGTTCCACCTCTGGCTCTTCACCATGAAGTATTGACGATGGGCTCTGTAATTGCTATAATTGACTAGCTTTACCCTTCAAAGTAGTCTGGTAGCGTGATCTTGAATTTTCTTGTTGTCCCCTTATCTCCTTAATTCCCCATGGGGTAGGAAACTTGATGACTTGGTGGAGAGTTGATGGTACTGCTCCCATTTCAAGAATCCATGGACATCCCATGATCGCGTTATAGGCCGAGGCACAATCCACTATCAGGAATTTTGTTTGACGATTAACACCTCCTGTGTACACAGGTAGTGTTACCTCTCCAACGGTCTGTTTCACCTCCCCACTGAACCCTATCAACGATGTAGATTTTCGAGTCAGCTCTTCTTCCTTTAGACCTAGTCCCTTGAAAGCTTCCATGAAAAGGATGTTTGTCGAACTCCCATTGTCGATTAGCGTCCTTTTCATCAAGTAATTAGCTACTGTTAAGGATATGGCTAATGCATCGTGATGGGGACCTCAAACGCCATCGCTTTCATCACTCGTGAAGCTGATTGAACATGCTGGTGTAGTGACACTTGTGACCTCGCTGCTTGCTTTGTGATGTCTAGCAGTTCTCGTGTTCTTCTTAGCTGCCGAGTAAGATACTCCGCTAACTTCTGAACCTCCAGTAATCACGTTGATAGTTTTGTCATGCCTAGGAGGTGAAGCAAGAGCAGATTTTGGTGAAGCTTTGTCATCACTCCTCTTGTCGATTCTGCTTCTACTTCGTTNAGACAAGAATTCTCTCANGTGNCCCTTCTTGAGCAACTCATTTACTTCCATTCTCAACGTGATGCAATCTTCTGTTCGATGACCATGGTCATCGTGAAATTCACACCACTTTGACGTGTCACGTTTATCACCTGACGTCTTCATTTTTTTAGGCCATCTTACTACTGCCCCCATCTGCCTCAATGCACCTACCAACTCTGCGTGTGAAATTGATAGGTTGCTAATATCTGGCCACGTTGATGATGAGCGCTTGTCGGTCACATCCTTGCTGAATGGCCGGTGACTTCCCTTGCTGTCGTTCTTGCTGCTCGTGTTTTCACTACGGGGTCTTTGATAAGGTTTTCCTTCTCTGGGGGGTTTCTCGCGTCTTGACACACGTGAGTCAAACTATGGGAAATGACGATAACGATAGGCTGGATCTTCTTCCCACTTAATTTGTGCCCAAGCCCTAGAGAGTACGTCCTCCATGGTCCAGCACTGATACTTCGTCAGCTCTTTATACAAGTCACCATGTAGAAGTAGACCTCGTTTAAACGCTGATATGGGAGTAGACGTGACACAACTCGGGATGGATACTTTTTCCTTGTTGAAATGTCTCACGTAACTACGCAGCGGTTCACCTTCCTTTTGGATTACCTCATAGAGGTCGTCTGATGTCTTCTCAAGGTTCCTGCTACTTGCAAATTGTTCGACAAAACGATCAGTTAGTGAAGCAAAGGAATTTATTGATCCGTTGGGTAGGTTTGTAAACCACTGGAGCGCAGGTCCTGTGAGACTCGAATGCTGGCCTCCATGTACTCTCTTTCAATTGCAGTGGTAAACATTCGTTGTTTGTATTGTGTGATGTGATTGTCAGGGTCTATCGTTCCGTCAAACATCATCATCGAGGGAAATGAAAATCTCTTTGGCATCTCTACAAGCGCGATCTCGTCCGTGAACGGAGTATCCGCGTAGCAGTTAGGTGCGCTCTTTTTATTGGTGGTGCTACACCAGGAAGTCGCTTAATCATTGCTTCCATCTCTTCAAGACGTTTGACGATCAAGTGTGGATCTTCTATTGTCTGTGTTGTTGCTCCTTCACTAGGGTGAATCACGTGTGGATCAGGGTGAAGCAAAGATCGGATGACTTGCTCCCGAACCTCCTCTCTAACCACATCAATGGCAGATGTACCAGCTCCTTGTTGCTGCACCGTCCTTGCACCCGCAGCAGGTGTAGTTCCATCTAGCGACCGCATCGGATCGACACGTCTTTGGAATCGGTTTCGAGCTTCGAGCTCGTTGTCTCTGTCTGCAGCGAGTAGAGTCTCGTTCGCAGACTTCAACGCAGCATTCTCTGCTTCGAGCAGTGCTGCTCGTTTTTCAGCCTGCTACATCTAGGCGGTGAGTTCCGCCAGTTGAGCAGCGGGATCTTGGGTGTTGTTACCTCCTGTGGGTATCACGTTGTCCTCTCCGGTCACCATGTCTTACGTAGTTAAATCTGACCCCTCCCTCTAGCGCCAATTGTTTCGGGAAAATTTAACCAGGTTCGCAAGTACACAGAACTACGGAATGATATAGAGAAGTATCGTTTTATTAATCAACAAAGTAGGCTTGTAGCCGAATGGTCTTACAACGTCTATATGTCTAAAGCATTATAAAGGACTTCGTTGGATGTGGAAAACAAGGCTAGGTCTCTGGTTGCGATCGCTGGGATGCGGTGAAGACGTAGCTCTTAGGTTTTCTCTGTGTGTTTTTCGATGCCCTCCTCTTCTCTAGGATGTCCCTATTTATAAGACTTGATCAAATCCTTTCCGGATTAGGATGAGACCTGACATCATGATTATCTCCCTAATAATCGGGATTTTTTATATACTCGAATCATTTACCTCTTCATATTATGAAGTTAAGATAATGATGGACCTCGCTGTACTTCCCACTGCCAAGTCCATGCGAAGTTATTTTAATAGACTTGTATTTATTTTATATCAAATAACTTAACTAATCTTGTAACGACGTCGTAACGGCGTCCACGACTTGATAACAACAAAGTAATGAGGTTTCACTTGCTACTGACAAGTGATTACTTCATTTTACGTGACATATATGATGCATTGTCATGTATTAGCAAGTTATTATATCGTTTAGCATGTCGTAGACGACGTGTAGTCAGGTATTAGTCAGGTTATTATCTGACTTTATCTCGTGAGGTATCAGTAAGCTATGACCTCGTTCTACCTGACGTAAATGATGTATTCTCAGGTAAGAGCAAGCTGTGACCTCGTTCTACCTGACGTTAATGATGTATTGTCAGGTAAAGGCGAGTTATTACTTCTGTTTACCTGACGTTGATGATGTATTGCCAGATAGAGGCTAGTTAGGACCTCGTTCTACCCGACATAGATGAGGTATTGGCAGGTAATAGCATGTCATCAGCTTATTAGACCAGGCCTAAATAGTGTAGAGCCTAGTCTAATATTCTAACCAACACTAACCAAAGTCTACTAAGTAGTGAATTTATTTTTCCCAACAGTAAGGAGGTTATTCTAAGGAGGTTAGTAAGGAGGTTATTGTAAGGAGGTTATTATAATCTAGAGCTTG